CCAGACCGCCTCCGTGGTCTAATGGTTGAGCCTCCGCCCGGAGAGCGGAAGGTCCGGGGTTCGATCCCCAGCCTCGTCATACAAAAAGACGTTAAAAGATGGTACTTGTTGTTACCCTGTCTGGCGCTCGGCATTAAGGGGCTTAAACAAGGACTGGTCGGCTCGGAGTCAGTATAGTGTGTCTGAGTGGGATATTCATGTTAAACTGTGGCATGGTATCTCAGTGGGCTAGCACTATAAATCGGCATCAGTCCGGACTTGTACAAGCAGCCACACACACACATATACACGTGCATACACGTCGCTATATAAGTGCAATAATCTTAAACCCCATTTCACCTCACCTCATAAGAACCAGACAAATGTTTCGAGGAGTAGTGCTTCTCATGTAAATTATAATTATGCTTGCTGACTTGGTTGATGCATGTCATCTCATGCCAATTGCTTAGATCAATGCTCATGTCAATCACTGGATTGTCTGGTCCAGTTTTATTTACAGACTGCCATCATATAGCTGGTGTATTGCTGAGAGTGGCGTTAAACAAATAGCTTACTAACATATACATCTCATGATGTTCTATGTCAGCTGAAGCCACAGTGCTTAAAAATGTTTCCTGTTTCTTGGGGATTTGGTGGTTGAAGATCTTACAAGTATGATTCAATGTTTGGTTTCATATCACATTAATATATAAGGGAAAAGAAAACAAGTACAATTTAATATTAGGTTTTATAGACCACTAACATATTGGGGGAAATATTTGAGAGGTGATGGTACATTATCTTCGTCATTTATTATATTGTTATAATAATTGTTAAATCTTTTTATGAAAGTTTACTAAATAAGATACAACAATGATGTTTTGATTGACTCAAAAAGGATGTTTATTATTTTAATTACCAAGCCTTTGCTTTCTCCCCATTTATAGGTTTCGTCCTTTTGTATGCAAATTTATGCACTAATTGTTTGAAATATGTTTTTCTGAAACTGTGCATATGAACTATGCCATATGAACTGTGTGGACGTCAGTTGACGTTTTAGAGATGGAGACAGTTATATATGATATGATATCATATTTTTTAAGAGGTACTGATTAAGATAAGAATTAAGAGTGATCAGTGTTTATGTTAGGAGACTATTAAATTTTTTCCAAAGACTGACTGTTATGGTCTTATGAACAAAACTTCTAATTCCAACTGATCTGTTTTTACAAAATCTGACAGAAGAGTATTTGCTACCTTTCCTGGTTTCCCCTCAGTTCATATTTCAAATAACCCTGTGTGAGATAATTATTGAGAAATTAACTACATATGTATTTACATATAGAACCTGCAGTTTCTCAACAGTTTCTCCGCTTTGTTTTGTGTACCCCTTCAATGTCTTGTCCTCATGAACCATCACTACATGTTGGAGGGGCCCGTGAAGATCCGGGGTAGAGTAGGTCTTCAGCAACCCATTCTAGCCTTGAAAGGCGACTATGCTTGTCATAAGAGTCGACTTACGGGATCAGGTGGTCAGATTCGCTGACTTGGTTGATGCATGTCATCACATCCCAGTTGCATGGATCGATGCTTATGATGTCAATCACTGGATTGTCTGGTCCAGATTTGATTATTTACAGACCGCCGTCATATAGCAGGAATATGGCTGAGTGTGGCGTTAAACAACAAACAAACAAAACTACATGTTGGAGGTGTATGGAAGTGTCGAAAGAGTTTTGACACTTCTGAATTGTGCCATTCTTTATTGGAAGGGGCAAGAGCTCTTACTGGAGCTAGGGTTTGATTCCACATGGGTACAATATGTGAAGCTCAAATGGATCGAATTGTCAAGCTCAATGACTTGGTTGATTGTGTATCTTCGTACCCCAATAACATAGATCGTTGCTTACAATATCAATCACTGGTAGTCTCGTCAGACTCAATTATTTACAGGCTGCTATCCAATGGCTGGAATATTGCTGAGTGCAGCATTGAAACAAGAAACAAATTAATGAAATCTGTACGTGTGCCTGGGTGGGAGTGGCCACTGCTTGTTCATCTCTGTGGTCATGTGTTATCAGTAACTATTTTCTGTTGGAGATGATAACCCTCTACGGATACGCATAACCCTCCCTCCAATCCAGCTGGGTAAGACCTAGAGGCTGTGTCGCGTGTTCAGACCGGTGGTGGTGGAATGTGTGATTTACCCAATACAAAGTACCCCAACTAGACCATACCAGCATTGTTGAAAGCTTTGAGATCAACAGTGCAGATGTAGTTTCATTAACTTTAGCGAACTTACTGTTTGTTGTGATTGCTGATACTGATATTGATAATGTGTAAACTTCATTCCTCGTATCTCTGATGTAAATGTTTCATGTACCCTGACATTGAATGCTCCACATTGAAATGGCTTTGTTTTTGATCGATCAATGCATGGATATATCACATCACATTTACTGAATAATCTAAAAATTACAGCATATTTTTTTCACATTCGTCCATACAGATTTTCAAGTCCAAACTTGATTATTTTGTTGTTGATTTTGTATGAATCTCTTCGAACTTTTTCTCCCTCAATAAATATTGATTTTGATTTATAATAAAAGGTTCATCGTAAACAATTAAAAATATATCCATTAATTGTCCATTTCAACATGTCAACAGAGTTTGAAATTTAGAACTTAAGGCACCTTTGAAGAATGTCTAAAGCTAATAATGGGTTCTGGAGAATTAACAATCCTTGCTTGCATGTGTGTCCCCACCTTCATCCCATAACTTATAAATGAATAACATGTCAAAGAATTGGGAGAATCTGAAAAACATCTTAAACATTAGCATGGTTGGATATATTCGACACATAATCAATTGGTTTGCAGTGAATAGTCAACAATACTCAATACCATGTGTTTTAATGGCTTTAGCGGTAGAATGTCATAATTACATATAGTGCATGATCTCCCAGGTAAGTTTTGCTTTTAGGGATTTGATGTCAGCATCTTGTAGCATGCTATTAATATAATAAACTCATTCTCTCTTTCAGAGTTAGCAAAACTCAGAACTCCAAGTGGTAATTTTTTTTGTTACAAATGCCCTTTTATTTCTTGTTATGCATAGACTAGATATAGACCCTCAGCCCAGGTGTCAGTGCAGGAGCTCTGCTTAAACCTCATCCGTAGGATTAATGTGTAGATTCATCCCATTGAGTAGTCCTCAAATAATAAACATCCATCCATAAAGTTCCATGTATTCCTGCTCTACAAACTTTTAATATCTGCCGTGATGAATTTAGTTCTTGTCCAATATGTCTGTTAACTTCCTTGGCAGAATTGGACACATCCCTATATGAGTCTTTGAGTCAGTTGTCTGTTTTAGACAAAGTGGTTACCAGTTGTGATAGATATACTGTTCGTAGTTGCTGTTTGACTAATACATTTCAAAGTGATAGATTGTATGGTAGATTTCCCTTTTACCTGTATTTCTAGCTTGCCTGAACCAAGGGTCCATGTGAGCCAATGTGTTGGCAGTTCCTCCTGTCTGTCTGTCACATACTCGCATCTTCCCTGAAACCTCTCAACATCATGGAAAATACTTGTATATTTGGGCACCTAAGCTGCCTTGTTAGGGATTCCGAGTTGGAGTAGAACCCCAGCAACGTATGCTGCTGGTCAAAGAGGCGACCAGATGGAATGGGTGGTCAGACTCGGTGACTTTGTTGAGAGCATGTCATTGTGACAGTGTGGATTGTTGTTTGCAACATCAATCACTGGATTGTCTGGTCTAGACTCGATTTTAAACTCGTTGTATAGCTGGAATATTGCTGAGTGCATTAAACATCAAACAAAAGTTGTGTTGTTTGCCCATTACCAAGTGTGTAAGAGACAGTAAATGTATTTTGTCAACATGCCATAAGTTCTGTTTCCTGGTAGCGTTCAGATTTTGTTCACAACTCCAAGATGATCCAGAATGAAATCTATTATAGTCTCTTTCGTAATTATGGTCTTCTTTCCTTTCGAACAATAACCCAAAATTCAGGTGAGCTATAGAGCCTTAGGACTTTCTTTTTTCTGAAGAACTCAAACCATTTCAAAATAATTAGAATCCAAAAAGTTATTGCACCAAGTTTTGTAAATGGACCAAGTGATGACAGATATCAATTGAATACTCCCTGCAATATGTAGAATGTTTGCTGATAAGTAGTATGCTGTCTATTTGATAGTCTGTGTCTACTGCAGCAAACACCCCTGTGTCAATGTTGCTTCCCATTCTCTTATCTTGCTTGCATAACTGAAGGGAATCCCATCCTTGTTTACCATTGTAGAAAACTTGGGCTTTTGGTAGAGAAGTGCTCTTATAAACGTCCAATAACCAAGTGAAAATGCAATACAAAGTTTGTTTAAGATAACGTCACAAAGATTTTTAAAGCAAAACTTCTGAAGAATTATCTTAAGAATATAAAAAACATACTGCATTTATTAAACGATATCTATGTAATTTAAATTTTTTATTGAGGCGACACCAAAGTTGGTGTATTTGTCTATGTACTGAGTTTGTTATACAGGCCAATCCCGAGGAATTGCCTCGATTGTGAGGGGTGATGCTTTTGATTTCTAAAGACTGTCGTGTAAGTGCCAGTTTAGTCTTATTTATTAAATGAACAGACTGAATTTTGGAGTCTCTATGAGCATACTGCAAGATTGGTATTTACCGGAATAATTATTTCTTTATGATTTAAATTAGTCTTTCTTAGCAACAATAAATCATGATTGTTAATCCTATTTATTTATTAAATATGAAATATCGCATTAAAGGAAAATATGTTTTATGATTGTGATCTATGATAGATTATTAGTTTTCAGGTCACAATGTGCACACATTTCTTTTATTTCAGATCCTTGTTTCCGTTCGTGTCAGTTGTTTGTAACAATATCTTACCTTCAGGTGGATGACCTATATTCATGATGTACCCTGTGCTCCTTGCTGCAATTTCAGCTATACAATATTACCTCTGTGTTTCCCAGGCTGATCATCTGCATCAGGAGCTGCTGGCCCGCCGAGAGGAGCTAGAGTATCGTTTCCGGGCATTCACGGCCGATATCGCCTCCAGCTTCTCTAACAACACACGGATAAAGCACTGACTTTGCCTTCTTGCCTTGTACATTGTCATGCCAAGGGAACCATCAACATCATCAGTGAACTGTTTTAGTACATGGGAATATGTACCCTCCTATTTTGCCATCCTAATATAATATAATAACCTTCGTCCAAATGCAGGTTTTTTTCAAACGATTGGTATCATGACTGTGATGACAAGTATTTTGAACTTTTCACCAGTAACATACATATTTTTAATGCATATATTTCTCTATAATAATGCTTAAAATATTGTTTCGTCACGACTTAGCAAAGCTTGCTTTAATCTGTTTTGCATAGCTGCCAACTGTCCTGATTTTTGGTATTTGTTATGAATATGCAACTAAAATATGAAATTAATTCATTTGAAGAATGTACCAATCTACAGGGGGGAAAAACAAGAACACAATTTTTATAGACAAGAGAGACGGGTATGAAGTCTATTTATAGTGTCACATCTGTCTGATCAAGACACTCCACTCGTCATATCGGAAGTTGCTGTAGTAGAAATAGAAACTAAGCAATAAAATTATCAACTGAGTTTCAGAATCTTGCTTGGAGAGGACCTCAAATGCCACCATTTTACTCTCAAGATTCCCATACCCACTCCCCGACGATGACAATATCCCCCAGCAAAGGATACTTATTGTAATTTAGGAAAGTTGGCAACTATGGTTTCGTAACTGATAGCATATTTTCTGACTGAATTTGGGGAGTATATTAACTGTAGAGCTTTCACCATAAAATAATGAAACTTGCATGAACATGTTTCCATTTGAATAGTTTAATTTCAGCTTTACTTTTTGTAGTATTACAATAGAAAGTTGCATCCACTGCCACAAGTTTCAGTGCTAAAGATATTTTAATTGTTTACCAGTACATTATTATGCAAAAGCAAAATTTGAACCACCTGTGCCTTCAACAAGAACCAAAATCATGAAGTCACTTCATTTAAGATTCGTGTATCTAGTTTCTAGTCAGCTGTACATATGATCTTCTTCATGAAAACCTTTTACTGTTCTTTATTGCAAATACTGTGTAAAATTTGAATAAAATGTTTTACCCTGAAACAATCTTCTCTCTTTGGGGTCATAATTAACACCTCAGGCAACCCTTATCAAGCGTGTCAATCAAGTTAAGATTTCTTTAGTGTCATATGATATACACCACCTGATTCAAAATCCAAAGCCGAAAAATAATGGCAGCATCATTGCAGAGGATCCCAATTTTGAAAATCAGAAAGTAGCAGCTTGAGACGCCTCACGAATGTCATCCAGACACTGACTGCAGAGTTAGTGGTCAACAAAAAGTGTTTTTCACTGCATAATGTGACGCTCCGTTTCGTGGTGTTGATACTTTTTAGTGTTGTTGAAATGAACAATATTATTTATCAGATCCAACCAGTCATTTTGTAATGTATGCTCATATCCTAAACAGTGGGTTAATTCATGCTTATGTGTATATACTCTGCACCAAAACTTCCTGTGACACCTTCTTAATTGGTTGCATACAAGAAAAACCTTTCTGGTGTTCAAATCAGATACGGAAAACATGTTGAACAAATGCAACCTCAGCAGGATCTGACGTCATTCACATTTACAATTGGTTTCAGTACCAGATGACTTATTGCAAGGGTCGCTTCACATTCCCAAAGGAAGACACAGGGTATCCATCTTCCTGAGGCTTTACAGTCAGTGAACTCCCTTGCCTTGGGTAGATGCAGGGTATCTGAATTAGAGGAATTTTCTTCTGGAAAATTGTTCGTTTATATGTGATTTAGTGCACTCAGCAAATCTTGCCTTTGATTTGACCTTACCAGACTGAGGAAGTTTAACTTTGGCATGTATGTTATGATATATTTTATTTCCAATCTTTAGTCTGTTCCTCAGTATTTATGAAAAACATAATTGGAACATCTGCTGATATGCTTTAAGTGTCATGTGTTGTTGACATTTAAGCTGAGTTAGAGGTATCAAATTTATGCCCCAAACTTCTAAGTTGAAGCCTTGTAGATAAAATACTCAACAAAGACAGTGAGGGATCATGAATATATTTGGGGATCCTTTTTTTAAATGAAGACTGAGCACACACATTCATTAAAATATCCCCAAAACTATTCATGATTCCCAAAAAACTTGTTCAGTATAGTAATCAAAAATGTATTGGGACAAGCAGCTAAGAAATTCTGTTCGTATTGCTTGAGTGATCTTTCATCATGTCGTTCTGGTAAAATATTGTGTAGAATTTATATTGAGCCATCAGATTCTCTTGTGAAGCCCATGTCCCTTGATCACAGATAATAGAAAACACAAAGCCATATTCTGTAAAAAGGGTAACTTTAGTTTATAGGGATAATATACAGGCTAAAATACAGCAGGGTAAGTCAAGCCCAACAAACAGAATTTTGCCTGCGTCATCATGAATGAAAAAAAAATGTGATTATTCCATGCATCACTCAATCTCCCGTACAAGCCACACAAAGTCAACTAGGCAAACTACAAACAATAGCGCTTGACTGTGTCTCCCGACCCAAAACCATGTCGTCCCTCCCCACATAATCCCCCAAAACATCCAAGTAATAAATATGCAATACACAGCCAAGGCCCTGCAAACAAATCTAACCAAAACTCCTTCTTGCATCACATATACTGTGGCTAAACCAGCACGGGTTTAACGTCTTGCATAGCAGCATGAGCAATGACAGGACTGAGGGACAGACCGACACTCGCTGGCGCAGTTCAGTCCCCATGCTTCTTACAGCAGTTGGTAGCTTTGCACATAGTTGGGTACAAAGAGTTGGCTTCCAACCAACCAACAATTTAACAGCAGCTCGAATTACAGGCGAGCCATAACATCATTTGATCATTAAAATCCATTTCTTCCTCTACGAGAAAGTTCTCATGAGTAAGATTTAATAGATATATATTTCCATCCAATCACAAGCTGTAAAAGTTGTCACTATCAAAGACGATAACTGTTCGTCTCACGAATCCATTCCAATGGACATACCAAATATCACTAGTCTCTTCAACAACTATAACATGTACTTAAGTATGACAACTGCAGGAAAGGTTCCTCAGTGAAAAAAAAAGGAAAAACAAACCTCCTTGAACCAAAGATGATCTTAATCAAACCAAATATCTGGTTTTGTCTACAGAAACATGTTGCTGACCTCGACGATTGACAAATGAGGGCTGATGGAGGAATGGAATGCCACATTGGGAATAGTAACATTTGTTGAAGTCTAAATTCATCATGGATTATGTCCAAGTGAAATCAATAAAATGAAGATGACAAAGTGTATAATGTCCTTTGTTAATGTCGCCATGGACAAGAGCAGCAGCCATCTTGGATATAGCACTACTACAGCACATATTGTGTGACGTGGTGTGTGAGGTACACAAGTAAAACCATATTTAAAGCAAAGTCCCCACAATACTGACAATCTGCGCCCATACTGCGAAACAAATTCCACATAAAAAGCTGAGGCGTTTAGCTACAGCCAAGGCCAGATTTCTTCTTAGAGAAGATGTCCTTCAGATTGAAGTTTACTTGAAGCTTTTCCTTCTTCTGAGGTTGTGGACTGTCAAAGCAGAATCTACAACAAAAATAGCCAACATGAAACTCAGAACATACCCTAATTGTTCATAAAATAAATCATGGGTTCCATCCCCTTAAAACATATCTAGGTCTACAAGCCCAAACCTTCATCATCTTTAGATCTAAGTGGTGTTTTGAGGACCATTATTGACTGCCATTACAAGACAGATCATGACGCTTCTACTTCAACATGGTTGTGGCTAAAGACACAGACTGAAGTTTTAGAACGTTCTCGTTGAATTAGGAAATCTATAGGAACAAACACTATGTCCATTATATGCACAGAAACCCATAGTATTTACATTACCAGGTGACACTTTATGATTGAATGATGAAAATCTGACATTGAAAGTCTGAAATTGTCAGTTGTATCTAACATTTATGCTACATGTAAATTTGTTTTACTGATTCAAACAGCTATACATTTGTGCATCACAACAGATGGGCAGTAGATAATATTTGTGTATGTTCTCAGTATCAGTGTTTATTGTCCAGTTAAATCCTGGATACCATTATTAACAAAGAAGCTCCACACAGTTCCTGCCACAGACCACACCCTGTGATGATCAGCCAACTCCACACACCCTGTGAGCGCCAGCCAACTCCACACAGTTCCTGCCACACACCACAGCCTCTTGAGTAATGGCCAGCCAACTCCACAGCTCCTGTCATACACCATACCCTCAGAGTGACAGCCACACTCCCCACAACTCCTGCCACACACCACATCCTGTGAAGGCCAGCTAACTCCACACAACTCCTGCCACACACCACACCCTGTGAAGGCCAGCCAGCTCCACACAACACCTGCCCCACAACACACCCTCCGAGTGACAGCCACGCAACTCCCCACAACTCCTGCCACACACCACACCCTGTGAAGGCCACCTAACTCCCCACAACTCCTGCCACACACCACACCCTGTGAAGGCCAGCCAGCTCCACACAGCTCCTGTCATACACCATACCCTGTGAAGGCCACCTAACTCCCCACAACTCCTGCCACACACCACACCCTGTGAAGGCCAGCCAACTCCACACAACGCCTGCCACCTAACTCCCCACAACTCCTGCCACACACCACACCCTGTGAAGGCCAGCCAGCTCCACACAGCTCCTGTCACACACCACACCCTGTGAAGGCCAGCCAACTCCACACAACGCCTGCCCCACACCACACCCCGTGAAGGCCACCTAACTCCACACAGCTCCTGTCACACAACAAACCCTGTGAAGGCCAGCCAACCACACAACGCCTGCCCCACACCACACCCTGTGAAGGCCAGCCAACCACACGGCTCACCTTTTAAACTCCTCTAGCTCCCTCTCCACTTCATCCATGTCTCCATTTTCGAGGTCAGACTCCGATCGTGGCATGAAGATTTCATCTGAAACAAAACATTGACAATGTCAATCCAAGCAGCAAAACTCTGTGCAGTCTTACACTACGGCAGACATTATGAGCTGACCTTCAAGAATATTTGATCAATGCAGGCTCAATTCCATGAATGGTAGGATTGTGAAACACATTATCAAACCCTTGGGACACAATATCTCCAAAGAATATAAACACTACAGGAGACATGCAGAGGCAGTTGATGGACTAACTTATATCTCGTCCATACTTCAGAAGAAGAAAAAAATGTAAAAGGTAGTAACTTACTGGTAGGTTCTGTGGAATATTGAAACTGTACCAAATGATTCGAAGTACAAGACATGCAAAGTGTTGATTAAGACCTTGTCTTCAGATTTGCAACAAAGATTCTCAAAGGATCCTTAAAAAATTGTGTCTGGTGCATGTTTAAGATAACAAGGTTTCACAACATTTTATGAGTTTTGCTTACCGACACAGCCGTCAGCTCCTTTGTTCTTCTTCTTGTTTTTCTTGCCTTTTCCAATTTTGTTCTGCAAATACAAACCCATTTCATTTACTTGATTTTCACTGTTGTACAAAGACAGGACAGTATTCAAATTAATCTGATCTGAAACTCTGTTACTCAGTACAATGTTGGGCGTTATCTGATAATCTGCTAACATTACCAATCAAGCATGTCTTGATTTTGTCAAAAAGATTTACACCCTTGATGAAGATCTAAGCAGTGAGCCATGTAACAGTGTGGAGGCACAACAAGGAGGCAGAGCCACACAATCACAGCATCAGCTCCGACAACAAGCAAACAGTACAAGGGACCTATACTCCTACATGTCCTAAGCCCCACAAAATAATAGTCTTGGTTCTCAGGCACTACCCACATCATCATGAAGTAGACCGCATGTTTCATTTCTATTTCCAGCCACCCCCAAAGAAACACACCGTCTGCCCGCCCACCTGCACTATATTTTCAAAGGCCATTGCCTGAGAACCAATTCTTTTTATTATTTTTTAAGCCTTAGAATCATGATATTACTGTGTCAGTACAAGCAATTTATGGTGTACCTGTTCT